TTTGCTTAGGTCATGATCTCGCGGTTCGTGGGTTCGAGCCCCGCGTCGGGCTCTGTGCTGACTGCCAGCTCAGAGCCTGGAGCCTGTTTCAGTCTGTGACTCCCTCTCTCTCTGACCCTCCCCTGCTCACGCTGTCTCTCTCTCTCTTAGAAATAAATAAAACATTAAAAAAAATAAAATAAAATAAACATTTCTCAATGAGTGAGCAGTGCATTCTCTCTCTCTAGCTGTCTCAAACCATCTTTTCTAGAACTCTGCAGTTGAAAGCCAAAGCCTTTTGCTCTGGGTGTTATATGGAAACCAACTTGACAATAAACTATTTGTAAAAACAACAACAACAACAAAACAAAAAAAAACAAAACAAAAAACAAGCAAACAAAGGCAAAGCCTTGTTGGGCTCCAGATCCACCTCTCCTGTTAGCTGCTGTGCTCCTCTGGACGCCAAAGGTTGCACACGACGCCCCCTTCTGGTGAGAAACGCACAAACATCTGGCCTTTCACTGGGGACCTCTCCTAACCCTCACCCCTTCTGCACACACACACCATGCCTCTCTGACCCTGCTTATTTTTATTTCATCCGGGCAGAAGTTGGAATTTCCCATCCAGGCAGCGATTATATTACTCGGACCACATCTAGTAAGTCTGTGGGTGAGAACTGAGAAATTATGCCCCACTTCCATGTAACAAACTTACGTGGTTATAAGCCCTTTTGATAACTAAAGTGATAAAGTGTCTTCTCATATTCTGATAAAGGAAATGAATAAAGCCTACTCAGAAGATTCTCTAAAGGCTCGTCAGTGAACAAAATCATTTCCTCAGACATGTTTTTCTCTGTTTGAAGAAATGTATTTTTAGAAGTTCATTAAATAAACCAGAAACTATCTGAAATGACTTGTAAGGTCAACAAAAACCTTCCTTTGATTTTGTTGCCATAAATATTGCCCCAAATAAAATATATCTAAAGTTTTTTTGTTTTTATTTACTTTTTTTTGGGGGGGGGAGGGGTAGAGAGACAGGGAGACAGAGAATTCCGAGCAGGCTCACACTGTCAGAATGTAGCCTGACAGAGAAGGACAGCTACCATATGTTTGCACGTACAGGAGGATTAGGAGGAACTTAACGGAGGACCATGGGGGAGAAGGGGGGAAATAGTGGGGGAGAGGGAGGGAGGCAAACCATGAGAGACTCTTGAACGCTGAGAACAAACTGAGGACTGATGGGTGTGGGGGTGAGGGGGAGATGCGCATGGAGGAGGCACTTGTGGGGATGAGCACTGGGTGTTATGTGGAAACCAACTTGACAATAAACTATCTGTAAAAAAAAAAAAAAAAGAAATAAACTGAATGATGAGGAAAAAAATAATAAATTAAATTAAAAAAAAAAGAATGTAGCCTGAGGCGGGGCTCGATCTCAAGAACCATGAGATCATGACCTGAGCAGAAATCAAGAGTCAGATGCTTAACCAACTGAGCCACCAGATGCCCCCAAAATATTTAAGTTTTTAATGTTTGTTTATTTTTGAGAGACAAAGAAATGGAGCACAAGCAAGGGAGGGGCAGAGAGACACCGAGACACAGAATCTGAAACAGGCTCCAGGCTCCGAGCTGTCAGCACAGAGCCTGACGTGGGGCTCAAACCCAAGAACTGTGAGATCATGACCTGAGCTGAAGTCGGATGCTTAACCGACTGAGCCACCCAAGCGCCCCAAAAGATATTTACATTTTTAATAAATATGCAGTACAATGTGATTACTCTGCAACTATGTTGCTCCTCTGTCAACTTGGACCTGTATCTCCTCAGGAGCAGAAAATGTGGTCAAGGTGAAGGCATGAGATCCACCGCTAATGTTGAAGTAAAATAATGATTCCAAAGGAGACGCCTCACCGGGTTCGGGCTGGGGTCCCCATACAGGATGGTCCCCCGTCACAGCCCGGAGTCCAACTCCTGAAGACGCACTGACTTTCATTCATGGGGAAACATATTATTTGCAAAGACCCCACTCACGGCCGGTCCCCACCTCCCCAACGGTGTCCAAGGTGAACCAGCAGAGTCCGCGGCACAGAACACAACGCTGGAGCCTCCTGTGCCTCACTGGAATCTGGACGAGACGCCTGCATGGCACACTCCTAGCCACCGGAGGCGAACAGGGGAGTGTGTCTGTGCCCCGGGCCAGGTCCTGTCCACGTGGACAGTAGGAAGCCCTTCCACAAACGGGCAGACCCCGTGGCCCAGTGCCCCTGTTCGACTTCATCGGGTCTATTGTTTGTCTGCCTGTGGATGATGAAGCTTTGCTGCAGAAATTTTCCAGGCTCCAGAGCCAGGACTGAGTTGATGGCTCGTGTTAACGATAGTGAATCATTTCCCAAACCAACCACTCGACCACAAGTTAAAATTACAGAGATTTCTTTCCACGTGAGTCTAAGAGACAAGATAATGCTAATAATGTCAAGTATCTTATGAGAAAATGAAGAGCAGACACAGGGGCCTTGCTGCTCTCCCACCCCGGTCTACACGGGTCTCCCTTCAGGCTGGGTCACAGGAGGGTCAACGGGGAGGAGCCTCGGCTTGAGGACCTGGAGACCGGAGAGCAGAGGTGGCCACGTTGGCTGGGGAACGCGTCTCAGTTTCCATGAGAAGTGATACGGACACCCAGCAAGTGCCAGCAAGGAATTCTGTGGAAATGAGTCATTGAACAACACTTAACATGATCACTTAGACACCGTCTAATCCCCTCCCCTGCTGTCTGCCACTTTCTCATCCTGCCCCTTAATCTGTGATCAACAAGGAGTCCTCTAAATCAGGAGAAACTGCTTTTGCACATGTTTGAATAGAAACATCTCCTCCTACGTATCTCACCTATGTTGTGATGGAAGGGAAATATCGTAATATCGTAAAACATCTTCAGTCTTTGATTCTGTAACGAACATGATAAGGGACCTTCATGGGCTGATTCGTCATCAGGGATCAGCTTTAGGGTTTCTTTACCAAACTTTTTTTTTTTTTTAATGTTTGTTTATTTTTGAGAAACAGAGGCAGAGCTTGAGTGGAGGAAGGGCAGAGAGAGAGGGAGACACAGAATCTGAATCAAGCTCCAGGCTCCGAGCTGTCAGCACAGAGCCCGACGCGGGGCTCGAACCCACGAACCGTGAGATCATGACCTGAGCCGAAGTCAGATGCTTAACCAGCTGAGCCATTTCTAAGCAAGGGTCCTCATATTTGTGGAGAAAACACTTGTGAAGAAGTGGCTGTGACCTAGTCCGTGTGATTTTAGGAGACACTTCTGAGTGGGCTAAACCAATTCTCTGGATCAAAAAGGGGGAATTCACCTTCATGATCAGAACCATTTGAAACTAGCCTCATTCATCTATAGGGATTAATAAGGATGACATAGTTTTAAAAAAATGTTAACCCTCCTTCCAATTCTTGTCACCCACAGAGGAAATATTCAACATTTTTCTTAGAGTGATCCTGTGGAAACATTGTGTTTGTATCAGAGTGAAAGTAACACTCTGAAGATACAATTACCTCCTTTGTTTATGGTAGCCTCTCTGACGTGAGAGAAAAATCCCGCTAATGCCAGAACCCAATCCAATTCTGAATGGATTAGAGAGGAGGAGGTGGGTGAGGTGGGTGAGGTGGGTGGGGCCCGGTGCTAATAAAACCTCCTCTTGGGAGATCACGCTTCAGAACCGCTGTTGGAACAAGACCTGGGGGCAGAGCAGAAGAGGTGAGTCCAATCTTATGTCTCGAAGGTCTACACAGACCTGTAACTACAGAGGACAGACCAGCGGTTGCCAGAGGAGTTGGGGTGTGGGGAGGCGGACTGGGTGAAGGAGGGAGGCAGGTCCAAGCTTCCAGTTAAGGAGTGGTTCACGTTTGGGGTGGGGGGCAGACACAGGGAATATGGTGAGTGATATTCTGCCAGTGTCATCCAGGGACCAGCGTAATTGCAGACCCTTCCAATCACTATGTTGTATGCCGGAAACTCACATAACTTTGTGTACCAACTATAGCCAAAGGTTTTTAAATTTTGGGGGTGCCTGGGTGGCTCAGTTGTTTAAGCATCCAACGTGGGCTCAGGTCATGATCTCACAGTTTGTGGGTTCGAGCCCCGCGTCAGGCTCTGTGCTGTCAGCGTGGAGCCCACTTAGGATTCTCTCGATTCTCTCTCTGCCTCTGTCTCTGCCTCACCCCTGCTCACGCTGTCCCAAAATAAATTTTAAAAAAACTTTAAAAATGTAAATTTCTACAAGAGTACATAGGAGAAAGCACGGTCTCAGAAGGGAGTGATTAATACATTCAGCAACTGTCATCCCAGGCCAACTAGATTCAGGCAGAGCGTGTGCTCCTGGGGTCATATGGGCCCCTCCGAAGGGACCAGCATGCACAGCGCGCAGATTGAGTACAGTCTCCCTGTGTTGGGCCAAAACGGAGCTTGGCCAAGGCGGACATGGTGAGGGAAGCCCCGGCCACTGACGTCCCACCTCTCGCGCTTCTGCCCTGTGCAGGTCGGGGAGCTGGGGGGTGGGGAGTGCGGGGGGTCCTGCCCCGGGAGCTGACCTACCTGTGGAATTACAAACCCCTTCTCCGGCAGCCTCATAAACACTGAAGCAAATCTAATCAGTCTTGGCAGCATGTGAGCCTTCCAGCCTGAACTGGTTTCGGGACCTTCCCCATGGGAAGGCGTAAACTCTGTTTCTCGTCATGTCTTCCCCACTGCGTGTGAGCGTGTCTCACGCCCGGCATCTTCCGTGTGGACAGGACAAGCCCCACCTCGGTGCCCCCAGCCAGGGGCACCACCGGGTGGGACCCTCGCGCCACCCACTTAGAGCCTGAGGATGAATCGTGCCCTCCAGCCCCTCTAGCATCTTAAATGTCAGAACCCGAGGGCCGTGAGTATGTGGGACCTTCCCTACCCACTGGCAGTGACTGCGAATCACCGCAAGTGCAAAGGGGAGGGTGGCCCAGGGCCTCGCGTCCATTCTACCTCTGGAAATTCCAACGTGCACATCTTTCCCCAGACAGTGGCCATGGCCGAACACTTTAAAGAAGTCGGTAGGTGTCTGATGTGCCTGAGTCACCTTGAAACGCCCATGTACCTGAAATGTGGCTACGTCTGCTGCCTGCGGTGCCTGGGTTCGCTGCAGAGGGAGCCCGACGGCGAGGGCTTACTGTGTCCCTCCTGCTCCACGATCTCTCGGAAGAAGGACATCAAGCCCAGTATCCAGCTCGGGAGGCTGATTGCGAAGGTCAAGGAGCTAGAGCCCCAGCTGGAAGCTGTTCTACGGATGAACCCAAAGATCCTCAGGTTCCAAGGTACAGCCTATCCCCACCCGTAAATGCCCTGGAAAACGCAGCCTGGCTCTGACTCTCCATTTCTTAAGGGCGTGAGCTGAAGCATAGCTTTCCAAGCCATGTTCCTTCCTAGAACATATTAGAGCCACCTCGGAGAAACAATTTAAGCTTCGGTCCCTGCCCTGCATCCGAGAGAAATAATGCCTGACTCTCGCAAGCCCGAGTTAGAGTGGATTTTCACAGCTCAGCTTGCAGGCCTGCCTGATGTGCTTGAGCCAGGGTGCCAGGCGGGACCGCCCATCCCTGGAGCCAAGCCCTTGCTCCTTCGGGCTCTGTCCCGACTCCCCCATGCTGGGTCCCAAGGGGTGGTGGGTGACTTGGGTGTGAGTGAGGAATGAGGAGGGTGCCGGGGGGAGCACACCAGGCCACAGTGTCATGTGAAGGACATGGATTGCTTTGCCCCCGGAGTTCACTTCCAGCTCCGTGCAACTTGAAGCTGGGATAGCGAGCCCTGTCCCAGAAGCGTGACCAGTCTCGACACGTTCCCTGTGATGGTCACAAAGTCTGAGTATCTTCCAAACACCCTTGTGTTGGGACCCCAAGTCTAGCAGTGTTCGATCCAGAGGACATATCTCCAAGGCTGCATGGGCTCCACCCGCAGTCACCTTGGTACAGCCCTCTGACAGTGTGGCCAGGAGACCGGGGTGGCTCACACAGTGCTTTTCCTCCCCTCCCCCTGCCCTCTGGCATTGCCAGCGCCCAGCACATCCCCACCCGTGTCCCCAGTGGGTCCTTTCCTCCGCCTGGACTGTCCACAGTTCACCCGTCTCCTTCGGGACCCCCAGCCTTACTCCTTTGTGTGATTACAGCTCCAGGAAGCAAAGGTCTGGCATGCACTTGTCTGCTCACCATCAGCAGACGAGGAAGGTACTAGCCAAGATGAACTACATGAAAAATCTCCATATTTAATGTTATTCTGCACTAAGTACAATAGTTTCCATCCTTCACATATTCACTTGATGCCTCCAGGTCGACAACTTGCGCTACTCTGCGTAGTCCGTTGTTCTTCACCGAAGAACGGCTTCTGTAACCCGCCAAATCACTTTGTGTGAAGAGAACACATGCTAGGAGTCAGGGGGACAAGTTCTCAGTGTAATCACCCACCCCGTCTAGAAAGTCGACCTCCCCGGGGGAATTCTGAGCAGGACGGAGCAGAGGGTGAAGGGGAGATTGCGGATGAGACAGCTGGGCCTGTGCATCGGACATGCCAAGTGCTGTCGGGCGTGTGTACTTGCTGACTGGCTTGTTTCTCTTCCACAGCGGACGTGACCTTGGACGTCAACACGGCCAATGACTACCTCGTCATTTCTGAGGACCTGAGGAGTGTCTACTGTGGGTGTTTCAGACAGAACCAGAGGTGCAGGCCCGAGAGATTCAACTACGCCCTCTGTGTCCTGGGCTCCCCTGGCTTCTCCTCTGGCCGTCACTACTGGGAAGTGGACGTGGGGATAAGCAAGGAATGGGACGTGGGTGTTTGCAGGGACTCTGCTAATCGGCAAGGGCCCATCCTACTGTCCTCAGAATTTGGCTTCTGGACGGTGGGTCTGAGGAAGGATTTCTTCCAAGCCGGCACCATGCCTGTGTCTGTTCTCTCAGTGAGCCCCCGGCTACACCGAGTCGGGGTTTTCCTGGATATGAATTTTGGCACCGTCTCCTTTTATCACGTTAGTGATGGATCCCATATCTTCACGTTCACAAAAATTCCTGCTGCGGAGACACTGCGTCCCTTTTTTGCTCCTGCAGATCCCAACATGGATGGTCGAGGAGGTGCCCTGAGAATCTGTCCCGTGGTGAAGCCGGGCACTGCCAGCTGTCCTGGGGATTCTGGTCAAGACATATGAATCTGATCGAGAACATTTCTAGCGAATCCCCGTGTGCCTGTAGCCAGAGCCGCAAACTTTCCAGCTGGTTACATGTATGGTAGAGACGGTGACAGAAACACACAGCCGCTGGTGAATCGTGAACACAATATTTAAGTGTCATCATAGTAGTTTCCTTTGGGACTTGTTCCTCTTTCTGTTCCAATGAATGGGTTCTGGATTTTCACACCAATTTCCGAATGTTTTTGCTTTCTGCAATATTAGTGTGCAAACTTAGTGTGTCATGGAGGTTATAAATGAAATAAAAACTTGGATGTGGCCCAATGGATTAATGGACTTTCTAGGTGATATGTAAGCCAAGACTTAGGTAAATGGTGTGTGTGTGTGTGTGTGTGTGTGTGTGTGTGTGTGTTTCCGGTTTTACCCAACAGCTGAAAGGCACACGTTCCTTTGAAGTGCACGCCAGTCAGGGAACAGGAAGGAGGCAGTCAGGACGTCTGGGACGTGGCTTCCGCTAAAGCAGGATGGCAGCCTGGCATCGCGGGGGCTCAGATGCGCTGGGTACCGCTGGAGTGCCAGCTTAAAGCACCCCTCGCTCTGTGTTGGTCTGCAGGCCAAGGGTTAGAGGGACTGTACCCGTTATGGTTGCCTAGTTAGGTCCCGGCTTGGAGTGATGGTGAGTGAACTGGCGAGAACACTGCCAGGTAACATAGAGCCTCCGCAGCGGCCCACTGCCCCTGGAGAGCATGGGGCGGGGCTAACGGTAGCCCCCATGTAATGCAGGCCGGGACATCCCCTGGCCACGGAGCGGGCCCTCCGTGTGCACTTCTCAGGAGGGGCCCCCAGGGCTCCGGGGACAGATGGTGATGCCAGGCCGGCGTCAAGGGATTGGCAAGCAGGTTAGGGCACCGTTGTCTAGAGTCGTGTGTGGGTGGGTGTGTCCTTGGAAATGTCCATAAAACGCGGCTTTTAAGGGGCAAATGTTAAATAGAACTCTCTGAAATTACAAATAGGCGAACTAAAATACATGAGTGATGAAAACGAATTCGCCCTAAAAGCAGAATGAAAATAGAGAAGTGTTCAGTAGGAAGCCACAGAGGGCAGAGACTGCACCCGCAGGGAGTATGTCTGTGTCGCAGGGACGGGCTGGAAGGCTGGTGGTCACTCCGACACAAGCGCGTGCAGGGAGGTGGCTTTGAGGCTCGCGGGGCCATGTGGTATCCGCCGCATATAGTAGCTGCCTATGTAAGTGGAAGCTGCCATAGACAATGTGAAAACAACAGACATTGTGTTCCAATAAAGCTTTATTTACAAAAGTAAGCAGGCGGCCTGGGCGTGGCTTGCCCACGCGAGGTGGGGCGTCATGCGCTGACGTGCGGGCGCGGGCCGCAGCACGGGGCGGGGCGTGTGCACACTGAGAGCGCAGAAGGCGGGCCCGAGCGGGACGCGACTGTGCACCGAGGGCAGAGGGGTTCCGAAGGGGAGGGGAGGCAGAGGCTGGCCGAGACACACGGGTGAGAGGAGGGGACACCGGAGGCGAGGGTGCCCGAGCGGCTAGAGCAGTGGCCGCGCGAGCCAGTGTCCTGAGACTCGGGGTGCGCCCGAGTGGGCGGGGCGGTCACAGACCCGCACGCTCCCCCGGCAAGCCCTGGGCCGACCTGTCGCCTCCGGCCCTGGTACAGGTGGCCCAACGCCCCTGCAGCACACCCACTGGCCCCCCCCACAAGCGCCCACAATATCGGGGCAGGAGTCTGAGCCGCAGCCAGTCACTGAGGCAGGAAGGGCCCGGCGCACAGGCCTAATCGGGGGCTCAGAGGCACTGAGGCAGGGACACCACCGGAGCTTTGGAGCCGAGGTGCATTCATGCCGGAGGAACGAGAAGGGACGCGCTAAGGGGCGCGGCTGCTGTCCGGGGGAGACCATCAGAGCTTCCTGACAGTAAACCCAGGCTGCGTTTCTGGCCCCCACTCCCGGCCGCCCCATCCCTGCCCCGGCTGTGCAACGAGGGCCCAGCCTGCCGGGCTCCAGGAAGACCAACACGTCGCACGCCCGCCCCATGCTTCCGGCGCCCCCAGACCCTCCCTTCTCTGGGTTGGGAGGCCTCCGCTGTCCCATGCATTCACCCCCACAGCCCTGCCGTCACCTCTGACCCGCAGGAGGGAGTCCGCCCGGCCCCACCCCGCCCCTGGACACCAGGGACCGAAGTCCGACGGCCCTGCGCCCGAGCGCGCTGCCACTCCGCCACCCGTCTCTGGCCCATCCCGGTGGCTGCCCCTGGGGCTCACAAGCCATCCCCTCAAGCTCCTGAGGCCGGCCGCCTCGGGGAGACACGAACGGCCCTCATCATCATGGGAGACGGACCCACATAGGACACTGCGGGGGCGGGCGGCAGAGCAAGAGCTCAGAGCTGGAGCGGCCTGGCTCCAGCCGCAGCGCAGGCACCCGCGGGCTGCACCCGGACGGACGGGCATGCGCACTGCTCACAGCACGGCAGCCCTGTCTCAGGAACCCGCATCCCCTCCACAGCTCGCTCCCCCTCCGCACGACCCCAGCCCCCACGTGGTGTCCACTGGCCACCAGCACGAGTAAAGCGCCCACACCCAGAACCTCATCCGCTCTCCGGCCCTATGGCGGCTGCCTCCCGCCAGGGCTCGGGCGCCCCCCACGCCCCAACACGGGCACCCGCCGGAACTGAAGGGCCCAGAACCGGAGACTTCTGAGAGGCACGGGCTCTCCGCTGCCCCAAGAGGCAACTGAGGGCCCCGAGTCCCAGGTCCCCGGGGGGATGGGGGTCGTGTGAACCACGGATGGGAAGCTGGGGGAGCGACACCCATGAGAATTGCCATTTATTCCCGAAGTTGCCAAAATTATCACCAAGGGATTCACCAAGGGGTGCGCATGGGGAGGAGGAGGCTCAAACACTGATTGAGGGGCGAGTCAGGAGGGTGGGGGGAATGGGTGGGGAACTCCCAGCTGTCCCTCCCCTTTCTAATGCCACAGGAAAGGGGTCCTCCTCCGGCCAGCGCCCCTCCCCATCCCCCATATGTCATGTCCAGTTTCTCTCCGGGGAAGGGGGGTGGGGGACATGGAAGAGGGTGTAGTGTGAGTGGGCCCCAGGAGGGGAGGGTGCTGGGGTGGGGGCAGGGTCCCCCGCTTCACATGCACTCACAACACTGGTCTCCCAGGGAGCAGAAATGGGGGAAGCCGGGCCAGGCCAAATCCCCCTCCCTCCTGGATTATAGGAGGAAGGGGTTAGTGTTGGGGGCTGGGGGGCCTGGGGGCATCATGGGGGGCAGGCCAGGGCCCCCACCCAGGGGAGAGATGTATGTTGGTGGTGCTCCGGGGACCGGGGGCCCAGGGCTGAGCCGGAGCTGGTTCAGGGTGAGCGTCGCAGGGGGTGCAGGCTGGAAGGGGTTGGTGATGGAGGGGCCGGTGCTTGGGGTTCCTACAGGAAGGAAGAGAAGAGGAGACAGCAGAGTCAGGGGCCTGCCTGGGTAGGAGGTCGGCGGGGGGGGGGGGGGGGGGGGGGGGGGGGGGGTGCGTCTGGGAGGCTGACACTCACCGCTTGGCAAGAAGGGGTTGGAGGCCTTGGCTCCGGGCGGCGTGGGGCCTGGCCGGCTCACCAGCGAGTCCAGGTCCACAAGGGCTGCGTTAGGCCCCAGGAATGACTCTGGCGTCTTCCGTGTGGGTGGCGGGGGGGTGGGGGCAACCGCGGGCGGGGGGCTCCCCACAGCCTCGGCCAGAGAGCCTCCGACCCCACTCATGTCGAACGCCCCGGGGCTGCGGGCGGGTACCTCTCCAGCGAGCAGCTCCAGCTCCCCTGCAAGGAGCCAGAGAGGACTCAGGGAGGGGGTGGGAGGCCGCAGTGGGGGGCACAGCCCTGGCCGCGGAGCCAGGAGGGCCCAACTCAAAGGCAGCCCCAGCTGACAGTCTCCAGGGCAGAGAACTACCAAGGGATGCTCATGCGATCCCACAAAACCCCACGGGTTCCAGGGTCCCGACAGAAACATCACAGCACGGAACAGTGGCAGATGCAGTGACAGCAGCAGACGGGAGAGTGTGAGCTTCTATCTGGTTGTTTCTAAGATCCAAGACTCTTTCCTGCTGCTGGGAAATGCACGAGTCGTCAGGGAGAGAGGGAAACAGGGCCAGGAGGCAGCAAACTGCAGACTGGACGACCACCTGAGGGGGTCCAAGGGGAGGGAGGGACCCCTGGTGCCCTGCCTGCCCTTCTGGGCCTTAGCCCGGTGAGTCCCAAGAATTCCTGCTTCCACAGTCCACTTCACGCCACTGGTGGGGGAAGGTGCACCGCTGCCTCCTGGGGACAGGCTCGAGGCCCTCCCGACACCTCACACAGACAGGGGACAATCTCCAGACACAAGCCAGTCCAGACCGTGCCAGGAAGGGAGGGACACATAAGCCGGGACCCCCAAACCAAGGTGCCCTGAACCAGGACGCCAGGTGGGGAGGGTGCTGGGCACGGAGGCCCCAGGGGGGAGGCCGGGGTGGGGGAGGGGGCGACTGCAGTGAGCACACCGCTGGTAATGCAGGGCAGAGCCAGCCAGGCCCTGAAACACCCAGAGGAACATTCCAGGGACAGAGAAGTCAGAGCTCAGAATCTGGGAAAGCTCCAAAAAAGTTCTTTGTGCTACTTTTGAAACTTTTCTCAGAGTACGAAATTAGTCAAAGCCAAGGTAAAACTTCCTTTTTGAAGACACACACAAGCAGCTACAACTGTGATAAAGAGTTTGGGTGGTGGGTGCCACCCAGTCCGGACGGAGGCTCACCCGTGCTGCTCCCGGAGGCTGGCAGGGCCGTGCGCAGGCGGTCGAAGTCCGAGAACTCGTCTGGTTCCGCATCAAACCCGACAGCTGTGGGCGCCCAGGATGCCCGCTCAGCTACCCGAGGGGACCCACCTCCCGCTCCCCAGCCGCAGGAGGCCAGTCCCTCCCCGAGCTCCCCTGCACGCCCACCACACGCTCCAGCCCCGTCCACCTGACCCTAGCACCCACCCAGTACCT